ATTAACATAAAACCACTAGAATATAGACATATTAACTTATTAAATACCTTTTTTTTTGTTTTTTTTATATTAATTATTTGTTAATTACTATTAAGCTAAGATTAGTATACGAATAAATATTAAAATAATATTTGATAATGTAATTAATTAAACAAAAGAAAATAAATAAAATATGAAGATTGGAAATAATCAATAGACAACTATTGTTAGATTCTAAACAAGAATATATTAGAATAATTTATTAGTTAAAGCTATTTATCTATTTATTATTATTGGTTTTTTTCTTTTTAACTTTTTTAATTTAATTTACCAGAAACCAGAATTTTTCCAACCAAATATCATAAAAACTGATAAACATATTTGAAAGAAGAAAATAAAGAAAAATATCATAAAATCCGATGATCGATCACTTCTACAAAGAATTTATCATTTATATTTATTATATTAAATAAAATAAAATAACCTGAATGCTCTATATACAGGTCGAAACCAACATAAATAAGATAATGGAATAAATAATATCATATAAAAAATTGATAATCCAAATGTATATCCACCTTCTTTATCAACAACTTTATAAATAAAGAACAAAAAAGCATTTTTCAATATTAAATTAATATAGAATTGTTATTTAAAAACAAACTAAAATAAGATAATGCTGTAATCATATTCAATACCAATGTTGATGAATATACTATATACATATATATATAGAAGAAATTGAGAATAATATTATTTTAAAAAAAAAATCAACGTACATAACCATAAATAATAAAGATAACGAACCCATCTTTGAAAAAGTGGTGCGATTTCAACAGATATATCTTGATAAAAACATGGTCGTAATGGACACCATCGAGGAAGTCGGGGAAAATTTTTCTCTTGACCTAAACAAATTTATTTAATTAATTCAAGATCATATATATATATAAGAAATAATTGTAAGATAATCTTCTATTTGATTTGAATATTTAATAAATTTATTTAAATTAATTCTAACAAATTTCTATTAGTCAAAATAAATATATTTATTATCAGCAATTTATTCTTCTATTTGTTTATTTAGTTTTTTTTTTCGTCATATTAATTTAACTTTTCGAAAAGATTTTTTTTTAAGTATTTAATCAATAATTGAATTTGGAATAATAGAATAAAAAAAAAAAAGAAGAAACTAACGTTGAGATTGTAAATAAGTTAATTGTCGTTCACGTTCGATAATACGTTGTTCACGTTGTTCAATTTGTGCTTGTCGTCGTTCAAAATCAGTTAAATCAAGACGATTTCCATTGTTTGCATTAACATTTGTCAATTGTTGACCATGAATAGATGTGGAATTTTTACCATTTAATTCTTGTTGATCATTTAATCGAACAGAATTGTTAATATTATCTTCTTTTGATGATTTGGACTAAATATATGTGCCTGTATTATTTTTCTAAATCTTTAGATATAATATGAACATACTTTGCCTGATACAGTTGTATTTGAAAAAGGATTGTATTGATAAAGTGTTTGTTGATTTGAACTAAAATAATTAAATATAAACAAAAAAAAACTCGAATATATTTATAATAACAAACATTGTTTGTGCTGTTGCTTGCTGAATAGATGGATCAGCAAATGGATTAATATCTTCCTCTTCATTCATTTTTAGTTATACTAAAATCATTTGAAACAAAATTCATTTATTAATAATAAATAATTAGAATATAACTAAACCAAATTTCTATTAAATCAACCATTGCGTGAGCTGAGCTGAAGGAAAATAGTGATCCTATTGGACAATGTCTTCAGCAATAAATATCGTACAATTTGTCAATTACCATTAAAGAGGAACATAAGAAGAAATAGATTTTGGAAATGGCCACCATAGTAATGAGAACATAAAATACGTTTAGTGACTGTATTGTTTATGTAATAAATGATCATTAATATTCTTGCTTAATTATTTTGAGTTTCATTATGAAAAAATAAAGTACAAACAATAAAAATTTAAGTATCAATACACAACAATGGAGAACATTTTCGGATGATTCTTTTCGGCAATTTTTCCAACGAATTGCAACCACATAACTAGAACAAGCAAAAGACGAGTTACATTTTAATAATTAAAACTTTCCAAAAAGGCAAATGTCTATGAAGTGTCATAATTATTTTATGACGTAGAATTGATAGTGTTATGGAGAACTTTATCATTTATTAAATCTTGAGTAATTTTTCTTTCCAAATATCATATTCGAAAAACTAAGACTCTTTATTATATAAGAGATGTTTGAAAATTTCCTAAACATTTTTTTCGATTTCCAAAGAACATTTTCTGAAATTTTTTAGCGTCAGTTGCTCTTTCAAATATTATATTTGGAAAGACAAATGACACAATATATGAAAATGATAAAGATCTCAGCATTTCACTTCATAAACATTACACTTTTAGAAAGTTTTAATTACCAAAACTTCGCTCATGTTGTGCTCCGCCTATTTATATGATTTAGATTCTGTTGAGTAGTTGTAAGAAGAAATTGAATTTAAAAGATTGTTCAGAAAATTTTGTCCAGTGTTGTATGCAAAACAATATAAAAGAGCTATGGGAAGTCCACTCCAAATGAGTGTTCTCTTAAAACATAATTTGTTTTGAACATCGTAAAAAGTTGTCTTATGATATCATTTTTCAGTTCTATAGTATAAAAAAGCTACATATATTTTATCATTATTTTTCACAACAAAATTTATAAAAATTAGTAGTCAATGCCTTGAACTGAAGCAATACAAAACGCTTGAAAATTTTCTCCAACTACTTCTAAAGAAGATATAAAGTCGTTTATTGAGAAAGTTCTGATTGGTGACCGAAGATTACGGAAAAGAAGAGGCAAACCCATTAACTTCTTGTTCAAAAAGCAGAAAAACAATTTAACAAACGTTGGAGAACAAATCTCCTTTCGCTCAATTATTAGCACATATGTCTGTTGTTGTATCTTAAGAAAGTACAGATATTTCAGTGAAATAGCTTCTTCTGTATTTACCAGAGAACGTCACAGGACGGATTGCAGGACATAAGAACCTTCGTCCTGACAGGACACACTTGCACGACAAAAAGTCGTCCTGCGTCCTGCCTGCAGGATGACTTTTTGTCCTGCAAGCTTCAAAAAGGTAAAATATTATCTAAATATGAGATATGATGTCAAGCATCCTACAAGTACTCATTTTATAAAAATCATTTATAATGATCCCGTTAATTAATCTCACATCACACACTTTCTGGTAGATATGAAATAAACAAAAAGTACTAGAGATTCATAAGACAAAAAAAGGAATCAGAAGACAATCCCAATGATAAAGGATTTATAATCTCACCAATAATGAAGATGAGATGTAACATCAAATCAAAGATGAAAGTACTGTTCACATCAAGGAACATAACATAATTTTATTAGAAAATCTGAAGACACAGTTTGCAACAGAAATGGAATGATCAGAGAATAATACAGAGATCCATAAGATCAATAAAAGAATAGCAGAAGAAACATTAAGATACAAACTTTGCGACGCGATCAAAATTGACAGATGAATAAGAAAACTTTTTTTTACTTCTTGTTCTTGAATTTCTCGTACGAACGAATAATATATTATAAATTAGACTTGGTCATAAGCGTATTCGTCTTTGAGTAACTGTTAATCTAGTGGAACTAAATAACCTTTCCGCCGATGCACTGATTGCTAGCATAACATGCATTCTTCTTGCCACTATTGACAAAAGCAGAAAATAAGACTAAGAAGTGTTGATTTTATTAGGTTTTTAAGTTATAACTGTTCATCACTCTACAATCAATAACTAATCACTTTATAGAAAGTGCTATGAATCTCAAAATCTTTGTGCAGCTGATTTATTTCTGTGCTTTGTTTTCCATTCAGTCCTGCAGGACTAATAAATCACCCTGCAGGTCCTTCATATAAAAAAGGTTGTCCTGCTCCTGCATTGGCATAAAAATTGTAGGACAAAATTGCAAAAATGCAGGGCAGGACATAGGTCGTGCAGGCAGAGCGGTGCAGGTCCTGTGACGTTCTCTGGTATTTACTAGCATAAAGTTCAGTTTCTGTGATATTTATCCTTTGGTAAAAAAGAAAAAGATTGTTTTTTTGTTGTTTCATGAGAAACTTGTATACGTTTTGTAATTAATAAACTTTAGGCATTAAAATTTTTATTGAAATATAATCAAGCTCAATAAAACTTATATTAAGTAAATCGCATACGAACAGCGCGAGTTATTTATGTCGTGTGTTTATGTCGAAAATAAGCTAATTTAACAGTCGACTTGAATTGAATCTAGCAGAAATAATTTCGGACTGAAAGGGTTAATTGATGTTTGAAATGGACTATAAATTAACATGAACAATAAAAAAAGCCAGTCGGAATCACACTAGTGAAAAAACTTTATATAAAAACAAATATGATTTTGTTAAAGATGATTCATTTGATTTTAAAGACAATGCAAAATTTTTTTCAACTATCGTCTAAATTTTGATTATCATATGAATATATATATGTTACAGGCAAAATTGAGATTCAGGCAAATTTTAAATTTGCCTAGGCAAAATTGGAATTTTAATTTTGACTAGACATTGCTTGGGCAGAATTAGAATTCCAATTTTGCCTAGGCAAAATTAGAATGTGACTAGAGATAAATTCATACAATCAAAACAATAAAACTGAATAGAATTTTTTATTCAATATTTATTCATTTAATTAAAGAATTTACAAGACAAAAATTTTACTCTATTGACCCATATTTGTACAACCACCTCGTTTTGAATGACATTTTGTTGAACAAAAAGCTCCTATTATTTTACATGAGGGTGGGTGTGGGTGTGGGTGTGGGTGTGGGTGGGTGTGGG